GTGGTCTGTAGCTCAGTGAGTGTGTGCTCTGTGGTGTGTAGCTCAGTGAGTGTGTGGTGTGTATCTCAGTGAGTGTGTGTGTGTCTGTACCTGTGCTGGCGCTGCAGTTGAGACTCGGGGACGTGGTCTGCACTATAAAGGTTGGGGCCTCAGGTCTTTGTGAGTGGACTGGAGCTGGTGGACTTTGTGCGTCTGTTGGGTTGGAAGGCGACCTGGAGCTCACAGCTGTGGCTTCCAGTTTGTTTCCAGATTGTTCTTCTGGAGATGCACAGATGATTTGGGGACCGCCTGAACAGCCAGAGGTCACATGGTATAACAAAAATTGTTGTGCAACTTTCTTGCATTCACACAAAGTACAGCTAATGAATTGCAACTGTGGCTGCCAGTTGTGTAACGTTTCTCTGTGGGGCTCGGTCAGCATGGACTGACAGATGTGGGAGGGTGAGTGTTAGTACTGGTGTCATCCTACCGGCAGAGCTCAGCAGAGGACAGGAGCAGTTCAAAGGGTTTTCCTGGAGTTTCAGTACCTGGTGGGACCAGACAGCAACGCAGCGTAATGAGCATGTTACTCTGACTCAGCCCGATACACACACACACACGGCTGCCCAAGGCCTGGAGAGGGGTGGTGTATTCTCCCACAGTGACTGTGAAGCTGACACAACAGTGAGACCGGTTTTTGTAAACCGTTAACAGAGTTCATGGACAGGTACCTGCAGACTTGTGAGGCCGGTGATTATCTCTGTGGGGATGTTGGTCAGCTCATTATGGGAAAGGTCCAGCTCTCTCAGGACACCCAGGCCAGAGAAAGCTTCAGCGTCCAGGCTGCAACAACACACATCTGTTAGTGATATCGCTTGATGCCAAAACTGCAGAGAGAAAGTGAGTCTTAGAGGAACGGGGCTGGAGGGAGTTCCTGCCCACCGACAGAACAAAAATAGGGCGCTTGGTGCTTGAAATGGCACACACAGGATTAGTGACATATAAAAAAATAGACATCTTATGTACCTGCTGATGTTGTTCCTGGCCAGAGATAGGACCCTCAGGTGCTGTAACCCAGAGAAGCACTTAGCTGGTACTGAAGTGATCAGGTTACCATCCAAGTACAGCTCCACCAGCGTGGGGTAGCTAGCTAGGGCTTGCTGGTCCAGCTCATTCAGGGTGATGTGATTCCTCTCAATCACCAGTGTAGTTACACTGGCATTGTTGTCATTGAGAGGGATGCCTGGTAGGAGCCCGTTGGTTAGGTTTTTGACCAGCTGATGGACAGAGAGTTTGACCAACAGTTACCAGATCATCTGAGACACTCACAACAAAGCTCAGAACACAATGACTTCTCCTACCCGTACTTCTCCTTCCACAGCCACTGAAGTACTCCCATGCTCACTTAGAAGCAGTGCAGTCAGCCCCAGCAGGAGGAGAGGAAGGTGGCACCTGCCCCCCATCATGTTCTGACTGCACAGAAGAAATGCAGCAGGCCACAGGGGGGCCAAATGTCTGTTGTGCAGACTGAAAGCGGTACAGTTGAAATAGACTGAAGCTGGAGTGTTTCCTCTTGTCGGAAGCTTTCCAAATGAGCGGTGGGAATGACGGAGCAGATCGGATCGGGTGGAGGGCAGAGACGAGGCACTAATAGTGCTGACACCAAAATTCAGAACCAACCTGTTCCTTCTTGTGAGGTTTCTCCCTCTGTCTCTGTTCTGCTGAAATGAAAACTAAAGATCACACTTACCTGTAAGTCTGCACACTCCGAGGGAACGTCTCCACCTGTTCCCGTAAGCAGCCGGCACAGGGAGGGACCTTTGCTCCCTGCCGGACTCCAGGGACGTCCCCTCTCGCTAACCATTTATGATCCATGGTGCCCGTCCTGCTGACGCTCCTCCTCTCACAGTGATGCAGAACCCCAGCCAGAGCGGGAGCACAACGGTGGGGTCAGACCAACTCTCTCAGGAGGGTTTCAGCAGTCCTCACCTGGCCCTCAGAACAGAACCCAGGGGGTTCTGCAGTTATTCATGTCAAAACAAATGTCCATCTGAGCCGTGGACGTGCACAGCTGTGCACGTGAATGCGTGCTGTGATGGCACTCCACTAGCACACACAGAGCAGAACTGAGCTAAAACCTGCCAGAACGCCAGCAGGGAAGCTGCTCTGGTGGTTTCTCTGTGGTTTCTCTGGTCTTTTTTGTGGTCATTCCAACACGGGGTCTCAGGTCTACGTCCAGCAGCCTTCTTCTTAACCTGTTTTCTTTCCATTCATTCAGCAGTTTTTAATACTCTAGTAGTTGGTGTGATGGGATGTGCACATAGTGGGAAATCCCAGTTCTGACCTGTGGGATGTGTGTAGTTTTACAAAGCTTCTCTGGCGTTGCTCTGACAGTGAGGCAGCACTGACTCAGGATTCTCAGTGTGCAGGTGTGTCCCTGGAGTTCTGAGATGTGTGGATTCAAACTCTGCTGTTGATCACACAGTCCTACAGACAGTCCTACAGACAGTCCTACAGCCGCATGCTGAGCTCCAGCCTGAGCACTGAAGCTCCACCTGTCTCTCCCAGACTGTCCTGTCTGTGCTCTGGGTCTGAATGTGGCCCAGATCAGTAGTCCATCCCCTTCCTCTGGTTCATCACCCCTCTGGGGTCTGACCCGCAGAAGAGAGGAGGCCATCCGGGCTCTGGAGGAGGAGATCAGGAGAGAGCGGCGGGTAGCAGATCAGGTCATCCAGGCCATGCCGGTCACAAAGCAGGAGCAGTACTCCACCATGACGGCGTCCAATGAGGAGCTGCTGCAGGTAGGGCTGTCCTGACGCCCCGCCCCCTCACCCCCACACACACCTGTGCTCATCTCATGGCTTCTGCCGGCTTTCTCAGGAGCTCGCAGTGCTGCAGGAGGAGCTGGACATCCTGGGAACCAGGAAAGAGGACTTTGAAATGGTGAGTTTAGTTTCAGAAAGAAATTGACAAAAGTTGAATCTAAAGTTATAAAGAAGCTGAAGAAGTGGAGAGAGGAGGGACATGCAGGTGGAATAAAATGATGGTGACAATGCTGGTGATTCCTATGATATGTCCTGTTTTCAGGAGCTGTCCCACTCCCAGATCAAACAGGCCGTGGTGCGGCTTCATGAGACCCTGTTAGCACTGGAGGCAAAGCGCGATGCCATGGAGGCAGAGAACAAGAGCCTGGGCTCCCCCAAGGAGGAACGGGAGAAGCTGTTTCAGCAGGTAGGAGCAGCCCTTCTCTCACCTCGTGGTTCTATCAGAGATCCTGTCATTATTCAGAAAGATTCACTGTCAAAGATTCATATCAAACACAGTGCTGTCATGGTGCTCTGATCTGAGATCACCCCCTACCCTCCACACACACACACACACACACACACACACACACACACACACACACACACACACACACACACACACACACTCTGCTTCATGTGGATAGACAGCACCACCCTGAGGTCGTGCTGGAGACAGATCAGGAACACGTGACTCCACCGTGTCAGCTGTGGCTCTCCTCTCATTCCAGGTGAAGGAGGACAACCAGGAAATAGCCAGCATGGACAGACAGTGTGTATTCCTCTGAATCAGCGAGTTGTTTGGAAGTTTGAAGCTTTATTGCACGTGTGTACTGATGTGTGTGTGTGTGTGCTCAGGCTCACTGAGATCAAGGCCAGGACCAGACAAATTACAGAGGACATCCGACATCTGGATCAGGACTCAGAGGCAGCTCAGGGTCTCCACCTCTTCTTTTCCAGCATCTTCTAAACATTGAACTGTTCATTTATTGGGTTTCTTGAACTTTTCTTGCTGATCAGTATAAGGTGAGTAATCTTAGCTGCTGTTTTTTTAGGGGAGTGTCAGCAGAAATACAAGGAGCTGAAGAGGAAGGAGGAAGAGATTGATCGTGAGTTTCTCTAAAACTTGATGTTGACCGTTTCAACGTGGGCTCACGTCAGTAAACATCTGTGGGGGAGTCGAGCTGAGCTGCCGTTTCCAAAAGCACAATTAGGATTTGGAGCTGTCAGCCTATCGTAGCTCATCCTGACAGTAGCTCCGCCCTCATTTCAGGGTTCCTGGACTCATTCGAGGAGTCTAAGGACCAGGAACTGAAGAAGCTGACCCAGGGCCAAGAAAACGTAGTCTCACTGCTGGAGCACTGCAGCAGGGTAAG